TTGATCCAATTCTTTCGCTTTCAAAATAATTCTTTTAGCTAATTTATTCAGACTTTTAGTTTCCCACGCTCCCTCGTATACTTTCTGTTCCAGTAACGACCAAATTGATTCGATAGAACCTGCTTGAGGAACAGTTGGCGGATTCTGATGACGCCGAACATAATTGATGTTATTCGCTTTCAAAAATTGTTGAACTTGTTTTGAATAGTGCGATCACGCAAGATCTGACCAAAAACAAAATGCTATCATTTTCGTAATGTTTGTTGATGAATGGTAATAAACGTTTACCTAGATATTCGTTTAAATATGGTCCTTGCTTTATAACCTCGCCCTCACTTGAGAGCTGCGGATCCGGGTCTGAAAATTTAGCTTTTACCGGGCCCGGGTCCGGCTCCGGGTCTAAACCTAAGAGGAAAGTCAGACCCGGTCTGCATTAAGTTATGAATGGAAATATATAACAAAAACAATTGAAGTTAACAAAATTGAAAAAGAAACAGTCAGAAATAATTTTACACTCATTTGACCTTTAAAGTCTCCAATGCAGAGCTAAAATTGTGTTCACTTTTCTGTTCATGTACATATAGGGTATCGAATATTGGTGAAAAGAGGATCGGGTCTAGACCCGGCCGGGTCTGGATCTAGACTTAGCCGGGTCCGGGTCTGAAAGTTTAGTTTTTCTGGGGCCCGGATCCGGGTCCGGGTCCAAAAAAACATGGACCCGCAGCTCTTTAGCCCTCACCCTTTTCGATGGTCATCCAGATTTTGGTAAAAACTTTGCTATTCCATGTTCTTTATACTTTTTTAATATGTCGTAGATCATTTGACATGGAATTTTTTATTCTATAAAGTGAGAAATCATGGTTTTCACAATATAATTTGAGTTATTGATATGAAAAGTTACAATCGATTTTGCAAGATCTTTCGTGTTCTCGTTGTGCTCGCTTCATTTGAAATTATGAACAAAAAAGTCATATGTCGTTCGAAAGAGATCGCTTCGCTCTATCAAACAAGACGTTAATTCAGTTTTTCCGATTTATCGTTCCTGTACAATAGCTTGAGACATTTGTACGGATATTTTTACATTGCGGGATATTTTATTATTTCACCTAAAAACTCAAAAAATAAAAAAAAAAAACAAATTCTTCTACAAAAGAAAGAATTCCCAATAGTCTACATTCTTAATTGTACTAATTTGTTTTTTCTCAATTATTTTCATTGTATGAAATTCTACAATAATCATCCATTGTTCTGTTTGTGTATGTGTTCCATATTCTTTATCAATCATAAATAAAACATGATGTGTTTTTTTATTATAAACAGCTTTAATTGAATCAATTTCATATCCTAAACCAATTTCTAAAAGTAATGTTTCATTTCGAAATTCACTTGTATAAGGATTCATATACATCATAATTATATTTTGATTAATTGATCCATGTTGCCATGTAACAAGTGCAATTTTTGTTTTAATATCATATGTCATTGTACAAAGATTTTCTATATTTGGTAATAAACGAAATTCTGTAACAATATCTTTTTTTTTATCAATAAGATTTAAATCCATTTTAATATAATATGCATTAAATTTTGTACTTTCTAAACGTGTTCGAACTTCAACAATCCAATTTTCTTCATAATCAAATATTGAACACCAACCATAAGGATATGCATATTTTTTACTATTTTGTCTTGTATATTCTTTAATTGGATTTAATGTTGTTAAATTATTTTCTTCTATAATAAGTGTAAATAGATTATAATCACGTAAACCAAATAAACGTTGACGAAATGGATCATAATGAAATGAATGAAAAATTCCATTATTTAATGTCCATGAACTTTGTTGATATGTTTTATTTTTTATATTATATGCAATTAAGAATAAACGTTGAAATGCATTATTACATTGAATAGGAAAATATATCATAGATAGACTATTATTTGTAATAGCAACAGGTCCAGATTCAAAATCATATATGTATGTTGCATTATCATTAATATGAAATGAGAAATTTGCATAAAATTGAAATGTTGTTGATTGAGAATCATATGTATAAATACTTCCATAGAGAGGAGGTTTGTCTCTATTAGAAATAAATAAATAAACGAAAGAAATTTATTTTTTTGAAAGTTAAATATTATACAATTGAAAGGGTTTTAGTGCATAATAAATCGAGGCTGATGAAAAACTGATATATCCCAAGAAGAGAAGTCCAACTGATATTAGATGAATAAAGTATATCATGTTAAAATTTGAATAAAATGATGAGTGTTTCTTTTTTTTTCCTGTTCTCATGTTTATGTATGTTCTTATCTACATTGAAGATTTTGATAAAATTCTGCTTGCTTTATTCTTTGTAATAATGTTAGTAATAAAAAACCAACATATATTATTGTCCTTGTTTCAAGTATTTTATAAGATGTACTAGTGCGGCGCTAATACAGAAGGAGTGGCTACAATTTTGTCGAATACAAAAAAATGTCGATTATTGTATTATCAAGCTTTCTTTCGATGAATTTCAAATTCGATTATAGTCACCTAAAATTTGACTTGAAAATCATATTGGAGTTAAGCTCATCGAAATCAGAAGCAAATATCAGATTGAATTTAATTCGAAATTCACCTGCAAGAAAAAACAAGTTGAGTTTATTACCTTATAGAGAAATTAAAATAACACAAACATAATTGAATCTTGTTTAGAATAGAGTAAAACACAATGAATTTCATTATTATAACACTAATAATGGAGGTATGTGTGTCAATAAGTAAAAAGATGGCACATACTCGAGTCAAATGAAAGCTCTCATCGCCAAACTAACAAGGTTAAAATATTAGCGGCCGTTGGCTTGCTTAGAGGGAGATATTTAAATTTTAAGGTATGTGAAATTTAGGTATAAAAATGAATCAGAAAAGGTTTTCTTCACTATTATAAGGACGAAACATAGTATTGTTTGGGTCGATTTTGGGGTTTGTAGGGACCCTCTTTCATATGGCTCGAATAACACCATGTTTTGTCCTTATAATAGTGAAGAAAACTTTTTCTGATTCATTTTTATACCTAAATTTCACATACCTTAAAATTTAAATATCTCCCTCTAGGCAAGCCAACGGCCGCTAATATTTTAACCCCGTTAGTTTGGCGATGAGACCTTTCATTTGACCCGAAGATGTGTCATCTTTTCACTTATCAACACACATACCTTCATTGTAAGACTAAGCAAAAGTACATAGAAAACAAACTACGAGAAATAAAATTCTTTTTTTTTGCAATAACAAATGCAAGACCAGTTAATAGTTCTTCTTGTTCAATAAAGTATTAAAGATCTAGCATTTATTTTGCATGATTTGACCAGACTTCCAATTGATTGCAACTTGATACCAACATGATCTCGAGTTGATTTCAACTTTATCTTGAGATGATTTAAACTTGATTTCAAGTCATAGGCGGTGGAGCCTGTAAACTCGGTGAGGCTTAAGCCTCACCTGATTTTGGCTCCTGTAGGCTCAGCCTCGCCGAAATTTTGAATTTCAAGTTTAATCATTTCTATATAGCTTCAAATTTTTCTATAAATAAAATCCTACTTTACTATGAAAATTAATATCTGGTAGGGGAATCTTCGCGAAGCTATCCCCCTTGGTCGGGATATCGGGGATGTCGAAAGCTCCCCCCTTGACCATTTTTTCAAGAAAAAGAAATTCTTTTGGTTTGTCCTGGACGTTCAGAATGTAGGTCAAAAAATGCGATTTTTACTTGGACGTGTCTGTGAAATTGTTAGCCCTCCCACTCCATAAAACAATCGACAACTTTGGAACTGAGCCTCACCTAATTTTGAGACCTTTCGCCGCCCCTGTTTCAAGTCAAATTTTAAGTGACCATAATTGAATTTGAAATTCATCGAAGGGAAGCTTGACAATACAATAATCGACATTTTTTGTATTCAACAAAATTGATGCTTGTCATAGAGAAGTGGCTAACTTTCCTCAGAATTTTTTAAAAAGTCTTACAGAGAATCGATAATCTTTCATGCTGGTATTGAAACAAATCATTTTTTGAGTTGCAGAAATTTTTGTCCAGTTTTCCATATGCTAAAAATCACAATCTCTAGAAATGTATCTTGATAAAAGTAGAACTATAGTCTTTTTTGATTTTCTTCTAACAAAAAAAAACCATATAAAGATGAATCACAAATAGAATTGAACGTTATTATTTCATCTTCTTTATCATCATCTGAATTTCAAAACTTCTTTCTCGGTTTTCTGATAATCAAACTATGTGCATGTGATCTTATTTGTGACATTCGATCAGCTTCTTTCATCATCTTTTTCTTTGAAAGTTTTCAAACAGAATTTTTTTCCAAATGATATCAGTACAAAATCTTTGGATATTTTGAGAGTTTAGTGTATGAATATTTTTTCTGATGAAAATCTTTGGCGCCATCGCTAATATGTATATTATGAAATAAAAATAAATTTTTCTTTTTTGTTTTATTAATTATTTATTCATTAAACATTGAAATATTCTATTCTAAGTTCTTAAAAATTAATTAGAACAAATACATCATTATGAAAAACAAAATATCATCGAATAACTCTTGATTTCAACTAACCGTGACCGTAGACGTTCGTCATCAAGAAAAAAAAAGGAACAAATTGTTTAAAAAATCCATTTGAGGTAATATTGTAGAAAAGTAGAAACTTAACTAAAATCTATTTTCGATTACATCCTGTCTGTATATATCAAACACTATTTTTTTTTCATTTCTTCCTGCTTCATGTGCTTTTTACACATGATCGGATATAACTCACTATGAATAAATCGTTTACTATTTTCTATTTATTCTTTTTGACGATTGTCAATGTCAACCGCAATATCTTGTATCGACGCGTGGAGTTGTAATTCTTCTTAAAGCAAAAAAAAATTGTCATCTTTATTTTTGTTTTTTTCTTTTAAAAAACTTTGTTGAGAAATTTCGAACATAGAGTAAAGTATTTTTTCATTATGGCACAAATACCAACTGTAGAATATGAAACAACTATTTTTACATTAAAACCAGATAATATCGGTCCAAATAAAGCAACATTATTACATGCTCGAACGACAAATACTAATTGTCATTTATACAAAGCAATTCTTTATCTACATGGATATATAGATTATTATTTTCAGTGAGTAATTTTTTAGGTAATTTCTTCATGAATATATGTATATATTTTTGTTGTTATAGTGATCATATTTGTATACATTTCTTAGAACACGATTATGATTTTTATGCTCTTGATATGCGTAAATGTGGTCGATCAATAATTTCACCTGAACATGATGAATATAAACATTATTGTAATGATCTTAATGAATATGATGAAGAAATTACACTTGCAATTGAATATATAATTAATGAAGCAAAGAATAAAACAAGAAGAATACTACTTTTTGGACATTCAACTGGTAAGAAAACTAGAAAAAAAAAAAATATAAATTCATATTTTTTTCTATTAAATTATATAGGAGGTCTTATTGCTATTCGATATGCATGTTCTGGTACAAAACATACTGATATTGATGGTATTATTCTTAATAGTCCATATTTAGCTACAATAGAATCAACTTTAATTGAATCAATACTTATGCGTATTCTTATAAAATTTCTTAAATTTCAAGATGTCGATGGTGGTTGGTATGGTCGATCATTACATATATCAAATAGAGGTGAATGGAATTTTGATTTAAATAAAAAACCAATAGATAAAATTCGATTACATGGTTCATTTTTTCTTGCTGTACATCGAGTTCAACAAGATTTAAAGAAAAAACGAATTACAATACAATGTCCAGTTTTATTAATGTGTTCAAATCGTTCGATGAGAGCAAACAAACAATGGCGTAATGAATATGCAGAAGGTATAATTTTGTTCAAAATGATTTATTGAGATGTAAATATTTTTATATTCACAGTTGTTTGAAGGTACATTTAATATCTCATTAAGTTTTTACTATTCTAATAATTATTTTAAAACTCTTCTATATATTATTTGTTCTTTGTTTTATATCTAATTAATTATTTATTTTTAGTTGATCTTATACTTAATGTAAAAGCTATGCGACGTGTTGCTTCTATGATGGGTTCACAAGTAACAATTCATGAAATTGAAAATGCTAAACATGATATTTTCTTATCGAAAGAATCTGTTCGAGAAAAAGCATTTGATTTAATGTTCGAATGGATTCAACATCTTGAAGAAGATTGGATAACAATAACAAAATTGTAATAATAATTTTCTTTATTTATATTATGACAAATAAATTCAATTAAACATATATATCATAATTTAATATTGTATAAGAAATACAATTGTGTATATATATAATTCAGCAAGATCATATCTCTCATGTGTGATATGAAAATTTGAAAAATCAATTTAGCATCATAGTTTATATCATCTATATTGTTATTATAGAACTGTTTTTCATACTCTATAGTCTAAATAGAAAATTTAATAGATATTTAAAGGTGACTACTTGCAGACTGTTTTAAAAATTTACGAAAAAAGAATATCATCTATATATATATAATGTTCAGTGTTTGTATATGTGTGTGCCTGTCTGTCTGTTATCGGGTCAAAGGTTAAACGTCAAAAGGCTATAAGGGGAAGGCCCCAAGGGCTACTATATTCGGGACTCATAGGTCCTTGAGGGCTATCCTATGAGGGTATCCATAGATTCTTAAGAGCTATTATACGGCGATACTTATAGGTCCTCATCAGCTATTATATGGGGATACCCATAGGCCCTGTAGGGAGTAGGTAATAAGAGGTAAGGCAATTTACCGATACCACTATAATAAAGTACAGTTGTCTGTTTGTCTGTGTCAGGTCAAAGATTAGAGATCAAAGGTTAAAGGTCAAATGAGGCTATAAGGGAAAGTTCCCAAGGACTATTGTACAGGAACTCATAGGTCCTCAAGGGCTGTTCTATGAGATACCCACTCATAGACCTTGAAGAGAATAAGGCAATAAGAGGATAAGATTACAAGGGATATAAGACTATCAGAGCGAAAGCTACATGTACTGTAAAAATATGTGCGATACAAGAGTATGAGACCATAGGGCTATCTATCTATATATATAATATCGAGTGTCTATATGTTTGTTACTGGATGCAAAGTTAAACGTCTAAGGTCATTGGTTAAAGAAGAAAACAATCGTGCAGTATGCACGGACTCACGCTAGTTTAATATAACGCAAATCTAGTCTCTGGATTTTTGATTTGTACACTTGATTCTGTAAAACTTCAACACCCTACTCATATCTAAATTTAACGGATTATTTTCTATAGAATTCTTGTTCAATCGAATTTGACCTTTTCCCACAATAAAATTCGGTGATTTCAAAAAAATAAAAATAAAAAATTGAATCGAAATCGAACCCATTAAATCATCACATAGATACAAAAATTCTTAAATCTATATTGAAAAATCTTAATTTTTTTATTTCAATAGTGGAAATTTTCGTATCTATCTGATAATTTAACGATTACAGGGTGTTTCATAAGTTTTGTGGCGCAACAAAAATTAGTTCTTATGCAAACACAAAATAATCTTCAACCGAATGTATTTATATAAATTTTGAGTATTTGTGACGCTGTTTCAAATGGAGTATTATTAGATGACATCTCCTCTTACAATAATAAAAACATAAGCATGAGAATATGCAGATAAATTTTTTGAAATCGATCAATAAGATATCTAACGGGATAGTTCCATAGAAAAACAACCACAAAAAAAATAGAAAATGTTCAGAAAACTTTTCCTTCTATTAGACTTTGTAGAGCTTTCTTTGCTGATCATTTTTATAAAAACATTTTCTGAATTTTATTTCGAAATGACAGTGTGGTGGACAAAATACTATGCACTGTAAAACTAACTTAAAATGCAGTTTTCTCTGAAAAAAGTGTGTAAAAGTCGATTCCAATATATAAGGTGGCATATTCTAGAGAAATGTGACATAGTGAGTTTTGTAGAGTGAAGTGTGCTCTCTAAAACCATGTAGTCGGTTTTTCAGATTCTTTCAAATAACATGATTAAATCTCAACAAGATCATTTTCAGCTGTACTTTGTCATAAAAATAGGAGATTTCAGATTTCTTTACAGTTGAAATTTCATTTCTTTCAACTGACAATGTTTTGATTGAGATTTAATCATGTTATTTGAATGAATCTGAAAAACCGACTATATGATTTGAGAGAGCAAACTTCACTGTACAAAACTCACTATGTCACATTTCTCTAGTATATGCTACCTTAAATATTCGAATCGACTTTTACACCCTTTTATCAGAGAAAACTGCATTTTAAGTTATTTTTAGTGCATAGTATTTTGTCCATCACACTGTCATTTCGAAATAAAATTCAGAAAATGTTTTTATAAAAATGATCAGCAAAGAAAGCTCTACAAAGTCTGATAGAAGGAAAAGTTTTCTGAACATTTTCTATTTTTTTGTGGTTTTTTATCTATGGAACTATCCAGTAAGATATCTTATTGATCGATTTCAAAAAATTTATCTTCACATTCTCATGCTTATGTTATTATTATTATAAGAGAGGATATCATCTAATAATACTCCATTTGAAAGAGCTTCACGAATACTGAAACTTTATATAAAAACATTCGGTTGAAGATTATTTTGTGTTTGCATAAGAACTAATTTTTATCACGCCTCAAAACTTATGAAACACCCTGTAGGGTTCCACATGATATTTTAGAAAGCGAACCAGAATCGTTGAATTCTACCTCACAGACCTTCTTAATACATTTCTGAAGTAAACCGATGATAAAGATCTGTGTCCCAAAATAGAGATAGAATAAAACAATCTTCCTGCTCTTATCAACAGCCGCTACGTTGTATTTCACATTTGAATCTCTCAAGAATTGCACTAACAACTTTTTTTACTTAATATTCTTTCTTAATTATAGAGTATACTTTAATGATGTATTTGAAATCCTCTTACCTTTGTTTCGTAGTTGATATATAAAAAATTTTTATTTTTAAAAAAGAAAAACAAAACCATTATCTGTTTGTTGCATGATTAAAACATACATACAAACATGAAAGAGTCGAACAAAATTATTAAAAGAAGAAAAAAAAAAAATTATAAACACAAATTAATCTAAATTTTGTCTCGCTAATATTTGAATATAAACACAACAAACAGGTCAGTTTTTCTTATTTATAATCATTTAATTTTGATTATTATTTTCAATATTTGAAAGTTTTGATTCATTTACTTGTTTATCATCATCTATAGATTCTTTTGTTAAAGTATGACGATTACTTTCACTATCATCATCATCATCATGTCTTGATGATGATGATGATGAACTTTCTTTTGAATGATTCGATATTCGATCATCATCATCAGTATCTTTATCTTTAGATGATGAACGACGTTTCGAATGATTAGTTTTCTTATCATTTGGTGTTTTTGATTTTGTTCGACGATGTCTAGAATGTTTTTTATCATGATCACTACTTGAATCACCATCTGTATCACTTTGATCACGTGAACGTTTTCTAGATATTAAAGATAATCATCATTTAGTATTATTTTCTTTTGCAATAAATACTTATGTTTATGTCGGGAACTACGTTCATGACTTGAATCACTACTACTATGCCGACGACGAGATGATCTAATCAAATATTTTCTTATTTAGACAACAAAAAAAAAGAGTATTTAGATGTACTTCTTTTTTGAACGTTCTCGACTATTACTACGAGACCGTGAACGACTAGAAAGAAAAAAAAAACAATTCGATATTATTCAAAATAAGAAGGATGCGTATATTTTTACCGATCACGTGAACGACGATGATGACGTCTAAGACAAAAAAAAAATATAATAATTTGAAAAATTATATTCATGAAGGAATATAACCTACCGTCGATCATCATCTCGACTACTTTCATGATAATCATCACTAGAGAGAAATAAATAATTGTAGTCTTACACTATTATGAGTTCATTTATTTATGTTCTTTGCTATTATTGCGTTCACTCCATGAGAGATTTATTAGCATCTTTTTTTTTAGATATTATTTTTTAGCCTTCAGATTTAGTTCATCGTTTCTTAGAAAGTATTTCAATGTCTTTGCTTGATCGATTACATGTATATATATCTCAAATGATCTGAAGAATAACATGACTATTAGTGTAACCAGGATTTATTATTTTTTTTGGGGTTTTTAGATATTTTCTATAAATTTCACAATACATCTTATCATGAAACGGAGGATATTATGCTGATGAGAGAACTACTTCAAGTAACACTTGCCGTTTGAGTTCATATTAGACCCACAGGGAGATGTCAGTGAGATTAGCAAATGTCTAAAAGGGTTCGTCCTCATTGATCCTTGCCACCGAGTTATAATCAATTTACTAGATTTTTGATTGATTTGTAGATAGCTCTCAAAAAATTAAATGTCAGAATTTCGATCGAAAATTTTGCTTATAGATAAGTCTAATGCTTCTTAGAATATCTTGAAAGTTTTATGTAAAAAGAATATTTCTTCGTCAAGATATTGAATTTTCAAAAATAGCTCACTGTCACAACAGTCGAGTTCATTTGAAAATTCAATAATTCATCAAAGGAACATTCTTTTGAGCTGAAAACTTTCAAGATATTCCAAGAGTCATTAGACCTATCTATAAGAAAAATGTTCGATTAAAAATCCTTTATTCATTCTTCCAGAAATGCCTACGAATGGATGAAAAATTCAGTAAATCAGTCGTAACCAGATGCCGAAGGTCAATGGATACAAATCCTTTGTAAACTTTTGCTATTCTCATTGAGACTTACCTATGTGTCTAATATGAATTCAAACGGCAAAGTATCACCTTGGGGGTAGTTCTCTCTCGTGAAGGTAAACACCTGGTTGAGGGTACGAGTAACATTTAGGATGGCAATTCAGAATAATATCTTTTGGTATAGTTCACATGTATAAGATGCTATCAATAGATAAATTTCGATAGTTCCTTGATTTCTATCTTTCATCTAGAACATAAAATAAATGACTTACTCTCCACTATGATAACCACCATATGTTGATGCATTACGAGGATATATTGAACGTGCTTTTGCATGTTCTACTCGTACACGTTGTCCACATACCATACTAAATATCAATAATTTACAATGAATTTTCCTCGTTATTTTGTTCTACTTACCGTCCATCCAAATCTAAATATAATCAAGCAAAAAAAAAAAACAAAATTAATAATGATTTTATATTAAGAAAAAAAAAAACTTACTTCGAACAGCTGAAACAGCATCTTCACCATATTTAAAAAGTACAAATGCAAATCCTGGTGGATTGCTAGAATAGATGAAAAGTGAACAATACGGTTTTTCTTTCTTTCAGAAAGATCTTGATTTTTCTGTTTAATTCTTTTTTTTTATTTTGCAGGAAAAGAAGATTTAGAAGAGAAGAAATGCATATATAAGAAGTTAAGATAACGACGTGTTCATAAACTTGTTTGCGACGTATAGAAGAAGATAAAAAAACGTAGTAGAAGTGTAGCATGATGCTGATGCTGCTGCTTTTTTTTGCCGACCAGCATAACTGAAAGATCGGAATTTGAAATATAAAACAATTTTCTCTTTCTCTTATAGGGAAATACATAATATTAGAAGAACATTACTTATTATTACTTACCGTGCTACCCAACAATCAATTACTGTTCCATATCGTTCACATTCTTGTTTAAGATCAAATACATTTGTACGTGAACCTAAATTACCAATAAATACACGAAAACCACCTAGATAAAAAAAAATTCATTAAAAAAAAAAAGTAATAATAAACTGTTTGTATGCTTAAAAAGACCTTGTCTTGAATCATAAATTGGTTGGCTCATTTTCTTTTCAAAAAACAAAAAAAAATCTTATATTAAATCTGAAAATATTGATAAATAAATTTCATCCATTATTTTATTTCATTTAAGCAAAATCCTCTTTGATTATTACAATTAAACAAAAAAAAAGAAACAGAACATATATAGTTCCCTATAACATAGATGACGCTAACCTATTGAGTAATCTTGTTGAATCATTAACCGACTAAATTTTATTACATTGTCTGCACAATCAAATATATTTTTCTTTGTGATAAAATTTTTTTAAATTTTGTTTCCAATGCAGCAAATCAATGCTTACCATCTATCTTAGGATTGATATTTTTTGCAAGAAATCTTTCAAAAAAGTGTACCATTTTACAAATCTATTAAATAATTCTCGATCTCTTTTTCAACAAGATTGATCTTCAAAACTAGTTTTTTAAAGATTCTGAAGATTTGTATTGTTTGAAATTTGTTTTGAACTTCTCATTCTCAATTCTAAGAGCATTTTTTTCGTACTCCGTCACGTTTTTTTGAAAAATCTAGACATGTTCAGAAAAAATTTTGCATAGAGATTTTGTAGCCTCAAGAATTATCTAGAGAATGTATTCTTGATTTTTTAAAAATGCTGCTACTTCTATTCAAAGTTTTTTGAAACTAAAATATATGAATTGGAAGTCGATGTCCTTTTTTGTGTCACCTCGTTAATGCTAGGTTTTTACTAATAACTTCTCTGAACAAAGCTCTTTAGTACTCATATCTAGAGTGGCTTAACCTACAATAAAGTTAAATTCAAAAGTAAATCTAGTTTTTTTCACAAAAGTCTATTTGACTATTCATTAGGCACTGTTGTGATTTGAAAAAATAGTAGTTTTAATTAAAAGAATGTACAGAGTTTTGTACCACTTAGGTTTATTTGGTCTACTCAGTGGAAGTCTGTGGGACAAACGTGATTTGAGACAAGAAAAGGTTATTTTCTGCCGGACTAGATTACTCAGGTGAAAATTCGTCTCTTGAAAATGTACGCTTGCGTGCGGCGTCACTCTCCTGTTCATTTACACCTACAAAATTTCTGAATTTTCTCCTTGACCTCTAGTAGTTTTTCGTCGGAAATAACAGACAGTTGACTGAAAGCCACAGAGACAATCCGATGACATTCCGACTCAAAATACTGCTTCCATTTCTAGTCTTTTCCCGCCGGACACGATGACCTTCTTACATTTTTCCGATCACTTCTGGCGGAATCTACTTGTTTTCGGAGACGACAATTATCGATTTCGATGGCTACCAAATTGATGGTTTATGCTGTTTAAAGGTACGTCTCTCTTTTTGACCGTTTTTGGTTCTTGAAGACGGTGCAGTTGATCAAGTTGAAGTTTTTTCCACAGATTGAGCGCCAAAGGAGAAAATTTTAAAATGGTTTTTTTTTTCTGGGAAACTCTTGCTTTCATAGGGTTGCATCCGGATTGCTTACGATCCTTGTCAAACTTTATTATTTGTTTTCTTGGAAATACCTAAGACTATATCTCAGAGGTAATTTTAAGCTTTTTCAAAAATCTTAATTGTTTCTATTTTTATGAGAGAAATATATAAATGCTCGGCACCAAAACACAAGAGTCTTGGCTTTCAGGATCCTGCAAATCTGGGTAGAAAAGTCATAAATGACAACGGTCGATGTTATATCTAGAGAATACTTTTACGTATCACTGCTAAGAATTTTAGCCCATTGAACAAAATTGGATGGAGATCGTAAGTAATTACGATGTAGCCCTATTGAAAACCAGGATTTCCAGAAAACGGTAAAACTCCATTTCAAAGTGTTTTCCCTTGAACATAGGTTTCCTTATTTTTCGTAGTCTATCTATGGTGAAAATTTCAGTTTGATCGATTGTACCGTCTTCAAGAACTAGAAATGGTCAAAAATGAGTTGAAGTACACTTAAGATCACAGAACAACTGTGCTCATCATCATCAATATTACATTTCCTTCTCATATATTGACCTCACTATCTGAAATTAATATGTCGAAGTGTAACATTTGCAGCATGTATCAAGATGAATGACGAACGGTTGGTTCCTTCGGAAAGATTCCGAAACATGGTAGAAATTCTCTACAGTGATTTTTAAAACACGAAAGAGATTGGAAGTCAAGATTTAGGATCTATTTAATTTCTTTTATCATGCAAAAGAATAAAATAAAAGCAATAGGCATACAGTACAGATTAGTCTATTCGTTTTTTTAAACTTTATAAAATGTTTTATATGTGTTATAATAATTTTATTTCGTATTTTAATTATAATTCATACTCGTCAAGAAGTTTCAAGTCAAAACGAACGTATTGTATACAATGATAAAAGTTTGTTTTTTTATTTGTCATGTTATTACATATAAACATTCGCAATCTTATTACTCATCTTTTATCAGTTTATCAAATTGTTTGAGTAAAGACAAAGAAAAAAAACTTGTAAAATTTATAAACAAATTTTTGAAATAATACTTTTTTTTTAATCACATTAACCAATCAATAATTTTTTCATGAATCATTTTTATATATATATTGTCTCTTATCGATATGATTATAATAACTAGAACTTGATGATTTCCAAAAAAAGTTTTGTACTGATGATAATTGGAGAGATGTTCAAATGTTGTATAATCAAAAGTCGAAAAGATCAATCTAGGATTTTACCAATGATAAACTTTGTGTATCTCTCACAATTAAATGGAAAGAGAAGTCAAAAAACAAAAAGAAAGGGAAAAATTATGATTAAGATTCATGAAAAAAAATCTAGCATCATTAAATCACTTTCACTGAAGAAAAAGAAATGTAAATGGTTTTTAAAGGATTACAAGAACTATCAGACTCTAATGTCTTCTGTTAAATAAAGAGAAATGAATAGATTTTTTCAGTTGATCTAACTGATCGCCATTGAAGATATAATAGATACCAAAAATCGGTATTATAAAGATACTAAAATTGCCCTAGATCCTACTAAGAATAAAATATAAAACTGAAATTACATTGTATGTGTACCTAGCCATCACCAATGTGTACACAAAGTTCCAACTCAATATAATTCTTTATTAACAAAAAAAAAAAAGCATTGTACAGCTGATCAATAGTCATAATTTTCTCATTCTTTCTCTTGATTGTTTTATCTTTCAAAGATATTGTTTCTTCAAAAATAATAAACATTACTGAAATATAACTTAGAAATTTTTCAGAAGAAAAAAATTACATCAATTAGTCTGGTATATGATTACCAATTCCAAAGACACTTTTTTTCGATACTATCGATCTCTGTTTCAAATCCTATCACCTATTTAATTGAACACAAAAGCCTCTCTTTCATATGTATTCAATAGAATAAGATTATCTTATAAATATTTTCTTTTGCCTCGATCGAGACCTTATTGACACACGGTATTGTCTCCCATAACTTGTATGAGTATACTTTTCTTTTTTTTTTTTCAGTATCATCATTACTGATAAACTAGTTTTTTTAGTGATATAGATTATCATATGCAAGTCAACAATGACAAAGCGACAAGTGTAAGATAAATTCATTGTATGCGCTGACTTTTCTTTGCATTTTTTGTTATCAACACATATACGTGTAAAATGTTTCTACGTCAGCATTTTATTCTTATTGCAAATATTATTCTTTTTGGTGCTGTTGGAACTTTAGCAGCAACTGGTCAAAATTTTGCAGTACTTGTCGCGGGTTCTAATGGTTGGTATAATTATCGACATCAATCTGATGTATGTCATGCATATCAAATTTTACATAAAAATGGTGTCCCAGATGCAAATATTGTTATTATGATGTATGATGATTTAGCCAAAAATCCAGAGTAAGTGATAGGATTCGTTTTTTTTGCTGTTTTCATTCAATTAAATGAATATGTCTTTTTTTTTTTCTTTTAAAGAAATCCAACTAAAGGTGTTATTATTAATCATCCAAATGGTAAAGATGTTTATCATGGTGTACCACATGATTATATTGGCGATGTAAAATATTTGAAGAAATTATTATTATTAAATTTTAATTTTTAATTGTTTTTTTTTTAGACTGTAACTCCTCAAAATTTTATTAATGTATTACTTGGTAAAAAAGATGAGATGAAAGGTATTGGTAGTGGTAAAGTTCTTGAAAGGTATGTATATAGTTTATTATGAATGTATATTTATTTTGTTATTTTATTAGTGGTCCTGATGATAATGTCTTTGTTTATTTTACTGATCATGGTGCTACTGGTCTTATTGCTTTTCCAAATGATGTTGTATGTTTATTTATTTTTTTTTAATATTTTCTTCTTTTTTAATGTTTTTGTATAGCTCTATGCTAAAGATTTAAACAAAACAATAACTCAAATGCATAGCGGAAAGAAATATAAAGAGGTTTATTATTAATAATAATAATAATAATTTTTTTTTGTTCTAAAGTAATATCTATATTTTATAAATAGATGGTTATCTATATTGAAGCATGTGAATCAGGTTCAATGCTTGAAGGTTTATTACCTGATAATATTAATATTTATGCAACAACAGCATCAAATGCTGAAGAATCATCTTATGCATGTTATTATGATGATAAACGTGAAACATATTTAGGTGATTTATATTCAGTTAATTGGATGGAAGATTCTGATGCTGAAGATGTAAGTAAAGAATCATTATTTAAACAATTTCAAGTAACAAAAAAGAAAACAACTGAAAGTCATGTTATGCAATATGGTGATCTTGTATGTATATTAATTGAAATAACTTTTTTTTTGTTTTCTATTCAAAAAATTATTTTAGAAATTGGGTAAAGCACGTAATGTTAGTCAATTTCAAGGTGAAAATATGATTAATAAACCAGAACCAATGAGTCCATTAACTGATCGTTTGAATACTTTACTTAAAGTAATATTGAATTTAAACAAAAAACAAAAAACGAAATATTTTAATTAATTGATTTTTTTTCTCTATTCAGCGTGATACTGTTGCTACAGAAGATGTTCGTACAGCAATTTTATCTCGTCGTTTAGCTAATTTACCAGCTAATTCAGCTGAAAGAATTACAATTGAACGTAAACTTGCTGAAGCTATTCAAGTAAAATATTATTTTTTTATGTATAAATATATATTTTATAATATTTTATTAGCAACGAAGTGTTATTAGTGCAACAATTGATTCAATTGCTAGAAAATCATTTCAAGTTAATCGTGCTGATTATTATGAATTAGTTACAACAAAACGTATTCCATTAACTCAACATGATTGTTATATGTCTGTTACACAACATATTAATGAAAAATGTTTTGATATTCAGGTTTGTTTATTTATTTATTTATTTATTTGTATTTTATCTTTCAATTATTTTCATTATAGAATGAATATGTTTTAAATAAATTATGGATTGTTGCTAATTTATGTCAAGTTGGACTTCGAGATTTTACAATTAATAATGCTGTTAATGATGTTTGTAATGCTCTTGGACGTCAAAAATTTGAATATTAATTTAATCAAATAACATTTAAGGACAAAATGATATAACTTCTTTTTTTTTTGTTTTGTTCCTTTTCATACGTTTTTCTGCTTATTTGTAATAAAAACATATCTTATTGATGATATACATTCAAGAGAAATAAAAGCATATTGTTTAATTTTTTATCCATGGGTCATTTCAAGGAAAATGGGACATATCTTTCCTTTCATTTGACTTTGATGATTTACAATTTGAAAACTTTAGAATAGACCTTACGAGCGCGATCTGCATCTATAGTAAAATTTTCAGTAAGATCTTGGACTTAAACAAAAAATTTCCTGTGAAAATCATTTTTTTTTTGTTAGAGACTTTGTTAAGTTCTGAAATAAAAAAAAATTTGTCTTCATATCATCTAGAGATTATGAATAAGGATTTGCATGGTTTAGAATTGATTTTCGAACTTCTCATTCGATTATAAAAAATTATGATAGTTAGAAATGTTCGAAGTCTATAGATAATTTTCATATCCGTAATGAATAGAAAAATTTATTTTCGAATATCGATTTGAAATTTTGTATGGAGATAGATATTAACAAGAGTAGTTTTTTTTGTGAATGTTTTAGATTTTGTCACTGTTGTTGTCATAAGACACAACTATGATAATAACAGCGGGGCTTTTACATGACTCATATAAACTAGTAGTTTTGATGTTCGTCTTTTAGAATAGAAGAAAAATCAGAAAACCTGACACTTTCACAATAAACTATTCTCGTTAAGATTTGTCTCTATGCAAAATTTCAAGTCAATATTTGAAAATGAGTTTTTCTGATGATTATGAGAGGGAACTACAATATTCATTTAAAAAATATCGTAAGGATGGAATATCACCACGACAATAAAGTAAGGGTACGAATTGTTTTCAGAGCTCATTTTTTTCTACATAATACAAATAAAAAAAGCAATTGAACAGTTGGAAGAATTCCTTTGTTAGAAGTTATTGATGTACATTAACCTTGACAGAACGGTGTGGGTTGAATTAAGAACAACACAACCACATCCACAGTCACTAATTCGATGTATTTAGAAGTGACATGTGTTTGTTTTTGATTGTATTCATAGCAGAGACATAGATGTGTGTCACAGTGGTTCTATTCCTTTTTTTGATTGGCTTGATCATAAGATATTTGTCAAGCTTAAACAAGACAAACATTGTTGTTCAAAATGTCACAGAGGGTTGAGATAAGCTATACACAGAGACTCCAAACAGACTGACTAATTCAAAGTGAATTCACTTTACCTAGCGTGTGTACATCCTCATAGAAAAAAGAAAGATTGAGATTTGCTGTTCTGAAAGAACATAACGAGAACTAGGGTGTGGGTGATCACAAGATTGATATCCACATCCACACCCTAATAAATAAAAATATACTGATGGTTTTAAAGGAATTATTTTTTTGAAATTTATTCGAAGGATTAATGCCTGATTTTTGTCGTGTTGACTATTACAATTTAGACATAAGATCATCAACAAGTGGTTAGATTCAGATGTTGAACAATTAATACATTATCGACGAATTATATTGGACTATTCTCCAGAATCACGTTTATTTATATTAGGTGTTACTACTAATTTTCGTGATATTCGATTTGCTTAAGTAAACATCAAAAGATGGTGATAATATTACATATACAGCATCAATAAAAGCACTTGACGACAATTACGAATTTTTATTACACTACTTAATAACGTTTTTCATTGCAGACTCATCAAAATTTAGCTATTGTCGTTTATCATCATTATCTAATGATATTCGTATTTATAATACATTATTAGGCATTGATGTTAATTCTATGGTTTTCATTTTCAATTGCTTTTTGAACAATGATGAAACAAATCAATATGCATTAAAAATTACCAATAAATCCGTTGATAAAGGCCCAGGTCAAAAAAGCACGATCGTATACGGAGTCCGTAATCGTCGACCTGTGTATAATGGTACATTATCAACAGTCTCAACTTTTATTCTTGAAGAATTATCAAATGATAGACATCGACCTATTGAATGTCTTCCAATTGATGAGTGTATATCATTTATGAAAATGATTTTATTAGAAATTATTTTAGAAAAATACAAAGAAGCTGTTTCATCAAAAATTCAACAAGGATCATTTACTGATATTATTCTTGTTTATGATCAAATTAGGGATAGTTTTAAAAATAAACAACCAATTATAATGAAAGTAATTGAATTTTTAGAAAAACATCGTTCAATTTTAAATGTTGAAAAATTAAATAATTATATTGTTGAATGTATCAAAAATCGTCAATGCTTAATTCAATTAGAAAATTAACAAATAAATATTGATTTCTGGGTGTGGGTGTAAGTGTGACCGATAGAACAACATCCATACCCACACTCAAGATTAATCTTAAAAAAATCGATTATGAATTAATTGATTAAATGTATTTAATAAGATAAGTTATTATAGAATTTCTTTTCGTGTTTTATCAATAAGAGAAAATAGAAATAATATTCACTTTCTTTTTCCGATACGATGTTTTTCTCATATAAGTCGTATTAGAATTTCTATTCAGAATTAAACATTTAAGAAAAAGAATTACTTTGTAAAACGCCAAAAAACAATTCAATTTGATTTCTTATTTTAGAATTCTTTTTTTATTTGTCATTTGAAAATTTTCATTATTTTAAAAAAAAAGTCTAATGATTAACATTATTACTTTTTTCTTTTTGAAATAATCAATTTTAATCGTTTTATAAATGATTAAAAATTTTTATTCATTTTTGGTCAAAGAAAAATTATTTTCATTAAGGCCTTCTCCCCCCTCCCCCTCCGAAAATCGATTTTTTTTAAAAAGTTCAGTTTTCGAGATAAACATATAGATGTTACCTCCAAGGTGTCTAGTTTTAAAATTCATGAAAGTCACTTCCAATTTTGAAAGATTTCTTTAAAATAATCGATGAACTTCTAAAGCTTTCTAACACAAAACATGGTACCTAAAACCATAGAGAACTTATAGACCCACTTGTTTTTATCGTTCATAATGACAAACAATGACACGGTGTACTGTTGTACGTCTACTCGGTGAGACGTCTGATGGGCTTTGAGTTGATATACAATATAACTACATTTCACTCTGATGTATGAAGATGATTCAACAAAATATTCAAAGAAAAAACATTCGCGCGTTTTTCTCAAAACTGATTTTTGGCAAAATTGAGAAACTCCGAACAAATTTTTTTTCGCTATAGTTTGTTCCATCGAACTGCGATTTTTTTTATTCGATAGATCGATGAATCCTCTTTCGAATGAGGGAAATGGAATTTGTATTCGACCCTTAATATTGAAAAAACCAAAGATTTTCTAGAAAACCTTGGTTAGGGATTTTAGAACTTTAAGGTTTCGAGAGTTACAAAAATGAAATAAAATATAAATTAAAAAATCCCTTCCCTTATCCAAAGCAGCAAGCAGTTCTCTTTCAAATGAGACTACCCTGGGAGCTGTAGCTTGAAGTGTACTGAAAAATTCCTTGTTCTCGTGGAAGTCCTAATTTGCCCCTTGGTTATTCGAAATCTTTCGAACGGTAAGGTTTAGAGCTCTGAAAATTTTTTTATATATGTACAACTATGAGCCAAACATTCCTAGAAAGTTTCGTGAAATTTCCTCGTACTATAACGAAAATCGATTTTGGAGGGGGGGGGGGGGAGGCATTCATGATTTTATTGTTACAAAACATAAATCTTTACTTTTTTGAAAAATAAATGATGAAAACGATTAATGTTGAGTCTTGTTTGGATATTTTTTTGTTATAGAGACTATTATATTATATTGTCTTTAAGAATTCATGTCATCAGTGTCTGTATTAAATAATGAAAGTCAATTTTGTATAGAAGTGTAAATATATTTTTTTTGTGTAAAATGTTAATTACACGTTATGTTAAATCGCTCTTCTATATTGACGATGATAGTAGCAACTACTCTGTCTATTGAAAAATTTATGTTTGAAATGGGAAAATTTCTTTTCAGTATTATATTTTGAAAACTACTAAGAAGAAAAATTACTACATGTGGTGTTACAATATTTCTTGATATGTATATTTCAATGAAATTTAATATTATGCAAATAAAAGATTATTAAAAATGAATTGATTTGATCAATTCAATTTATGAGTAGTAATATCGGCACTTTAGTACCATATAGAAAGCTTAAGGAAACTTTCTCTCTGTATGCATAATAATGTTCCACATTTCTGCAACTAATAAAATTTTCGATAAGAGATGTTTTTTTTCTATGATCTGTGACAATAACACTAATGTCTATATCAGAGAAAACAAGATGGATAGGTTTTTTTTTCTATAAAGTTTTCAATTGAGTTTTTTGAAAACAAGTGTAAGGCTGAGTTGTTCCACTCGAAAGTCTATAGTCGTTTTTTATAGCAATTCGTATGCAAAAAAAATCACTATTTTACTTTTTTTCATTTTGATAAGAAACTATTTTCTCAATACTTCATTTTGTATAAAATTGATTAAAAAAAATTTGTAATACACAATTCAATCAACATTCATCTCTTCTTTCCAAATATGAAAACAGCAACTCTCCATCTTCTTTCTATCAAAATTTATCCAAAAACAAACCCATCCGTCTTGTTTTCTTTCAGATCAACATTAGTGTTATCGTCACAGATCATAAGAAAAAAATACATCTCTTATCGAAATTTTATTAGTGGAAGGATGATGACATATTGCAAAAATTTAGAGCATTACTGTGAGTGCAGTCCCATTCGATATATTTTCGGTATTAAAGTATTATTCTCTCCACTACTTGTGGATTGACTTATCCAAATCCACGAATTTTCGTCAGGATTGCGTCGGAAAACTGGTAGAAATTCGGAAACAGAAATCCAATGGCCAGCATAGCCCGATTACGACTGTAACTAGAAAAATCCGGCCATTGGTTCTGATCATTGGATTTCTACTCCCAAGTTCTTATCAATTTCTAATCGGAAACGATTTGTATTTCTTAACTTGAGTAAGTAACTTTTTTTTCTGAAAGATAATTTGTGAAAATAATATAGTTGGATAAGTTATTTTAATTTTTATTTATTGAAAGATCATTCATTTGTACTACATCAGATTATTTTTTTCACAGATGACAATAATATTTTCCAAAAATGATTTATCGTACGTAAGTATGTGTTTTCAATTACTAATGATACCCAATTGGTAAAATTCTTCTTTTTTTTTTTTTTATGTTATGTTTATTTAATGTCAACAGTTGACAATGACAGATGATATTTATTAGATTCAAGCAAAAGAATAAATGATGTGTTATAAGTCATAAGATTTATTTTTGCTAGTCGATCGAATAATTTAAGATAGTGACAATAACAACTTTATTTTTCTTGGATTTGTGTTATTTAACTGTAAATTACGAAAGAATATTTTTCATTCTACTCTTGATTATAACTTCAGATATTATAGATTAATTATCACGGCTTTTCTTTGTTACAAAAATGCAATTTTGTTTTTTTTTTTGTATTAGTTAAAAGTAACTCTTTATTATGCACTTGTGACATTGTCAACTCAATAATTTTTAATCTTTTGAAAAATCTTTTTCATATGTCAATACATAAAATAATAATTATAATATATATAAATGTCAATTCTTATTTTCATAGATTTTGTAATGATATTGAATAAATCTAACAAAAAGAATATCTTTCTTTAATTCATTGATATTTTGTAATAAAATATTAATTCTTTATTGTTTATTAACAACAAATACATCAATAATCAAGTTTTCTTAGTTAAATTCGAAAAAAAAAATCTACAGAAAATATCAATATAAATAAATAATATTTCAATGATATACGTGAACTATTCCCCAATAGTCGACCATTAATATCCGTAATATTATAGTGATTTAAGACATTTTTTACAGCTTGTATTGTTAATGGTCCATTACATAGCATTCGATTACATTTAACAGTCATGATTGCAAAATTATTCGAATCATAAATATTAACACTAGCTGATTCTTGAGAATGATGTTGACATGAACGTCGATAAATTTTATATTTAATAAGATCATCAATAATTTGACATGAACCAATAATTCCAGCAACAGTACATTGTCGTATAGCTTCATTTGAATCAAAACAAAGTAAATCATTATCTAAATTTGTATTTTTATATAAAATTTGTTTAAGATCATTATAAATATTTGAAATATTAAATGATCGTTGTCTCATTTCAATAATTTTTTTTTCAGCAAAATATCGAGTACAATCATCTTTATCTTTACATATATAATTAATATCATAGGAAAAAAATCTTTTCATAGCTACTTCAATCATAATAAAATGTCTATTATCATCAATATTTTCATCATTTAATAAATCACCTGAAAATTTAACAATATAATTTCTTTGTTCATACCAAAATATAAGTTTAACTGAACATCGATTACTTGATATATAAGTACAATTTGATGGTAAAATAAACGATTGATTCATTGAATAAATCATCGTACAATCATTAATACATTGTAAACTGTAAGCTACATTGAAAATAGATACTAACAATACTAGTAGGAGTATCATTATCCTATTCTGTTTCTATCAGAAATGGGTATAGCTTTATGTGTCCTCAATATATAAGTAAACAATGGCAGTTTATATGCATATATATATATATACACGTATTAATATTGAAGCAAAACATTCTGTTATTTTTGAGAATGCCAGTATATCATTGTTTATGTTGCTAATATCGATGTCAAACGTCCTTATATTCAGACATTAATGGTAAAGATCGAATTATGAGTCTATATATATAAGTGAAAATTCAATCAAGTATTATTTTACAGATGTCATCTCAAACAAACAAGAGTTTTTTTTTTCTATGAAAGGAACATGTACGTTCTTGATATTAATATGAAAATTCTTGAAGTAAGGTTTCTTTTATTTAATGATATTTTAAGTCTTCCAATGAAAATTTAGAATTATTCGATAAAAATCGAATTGTGTTGAGAACATATCAGATAATATTTATTCATGAATTATGAACAAGACTCATTTATCATCATGTCAAAAACAAATCGATTAAATTCATTTTTCTTTTTTAAATATAAATATATGATGATTATATCGATGTCATTAATAAAAAAATGTCCTTGTAAAGAAACTGTTGTCATTTGATCCTTATTAAATCAATATCATTTTTATTAAATATCGAAACCATTTCAATTGTTCCTTTATAATCAACATATGTCTGATGTATGCATATGAACCTTGAATCAGTAGAAAGACAATGATAGAGGTGAAAGAAAAAGCATTAGGTACTTGTAATATGATGCATTAGGGAAAGGCTATATGTAAGTAAGAGAACAAAAGAAAAGAGAAGAAAAAAAAAATCGAACTCAACGCATTCGATTAATCTCTCATCATCAAGGAGTTACCCTTTTTTTACTCATTTTTCTCTGTCTGTCATTCAGTACAATCTTAACAACGGTAAACAGATCATAGTTTTATTTTAACGTTCATGTGGTGGGTGTTATATCGAAAACGAAATGAATTGAGAAAGAAATCATTATCAGTATTGCATGTATTATTCAGTATGTTGTAATTTTTTTTCTTTGTTTCTGTTATTATATAATTCTAGGAAATATGCACATATATAAACTGAGAAAGAAAAAACTAAATAGATTTACTTAATTAATATAAAGGTAATATGAACTGATGCATCAAAAAGATAGACAGATAAGAGTTCGGTCTATTGCTAAGTAATATAAACAATAAGTAAATACATAAAGTAAGCTCACATAATTAGATAAAGCAAAAAAAAAAACAGAAAGAACTCTTATCCTATAACAATGATAGAGATAAATTATGTTTTGTTCGCATTCCTCGATGTTGTGTAATCCATCAAGATATAATAAGTTTTCAACAGAAAAGAATAGAAATAGAGAAATTAAATAATATATAATGATGGTATTATTTTGATAGATATTGAACAAACTTTTCTTTTCAATTAAAAAATATTAATCCTTGTAATAAATTATAATTTGTCAATCAAATAGTTATTGAATTAGGTGAGTAATCTTATGTCATTATTATTTATTTAATATTGTTTGAATTCATGTCTATAGAAAATAGAATGTATAATAAGGTAATTAATATTATTTAATAGATTTATTCTTATATAAAAAAAGAATATTGATTGAAGAAATTTCTTAACTTATGAAATTTAAGATCAATTATATATTCTTTTGAATTTAACGTAGGTTTATTCATTTTTTTTTCTTTTTGTTCTTGATAAAATTTTAAATGAAATAGATAATTAGTTTTGTAAAAATATATATGTATGTGACCAACATATTTTTCTTTCATAGTTATTAAAAATTTCTTAAGAAATAATTTTATGTTTCAAAAATTGACACCCATCAAATTTATTCATGAAATGAATAATTTCTATGTCAAATAAATATAAAATTTTATTCTATTGACAAATAATAATTATTATTTTTCAATATCATTATATTAAAAAGAAGAAATCTGAAGAGATAAAACCAGATAAAACATGTCAAAAAATTGGCAAAATATATTTTTCTTCATTGTCTATAGGTTTCTTTTTTTTTGTTTTATATACATAAGTATGTCTCGTTTTATAACCACATGATCTATGATTTTGATATAATTAATCAAAAAGAAATAGAAATGTAACAGTGACAGGAACACAAAATATTCTATAACAGAATAAAACCGCATATATATATATAACGAGAAAGAGAAAAAGTAAAAGATTATAGAATAATAATCTCTTCGACGAGACTATGTATGCGCATAGGCAGTTAGAGATATATATAACAACAAGCAGGCTCGTCTCGAAATAATCGATAACGAGATTTCTATTCCATACACCGTGCTAACATTTGACAATATTACAAGCGTTGGCGTCATGAGATCAATATCATATCAATAAAAAACAGCTTTGGTATTTGTGATCGTGTATCATCATTATTATTTCTTTACCAATCATAACAACTGAGATCTATCATGTGTTCGAAGAAGCAGTAGATGCACTTCTAGATTTGTCTAAATATACTTTCTTCATGGACAATATATCAATCGACATACGTAAGCTTGTCTAGTCTTTCGTTCTGTACATATTTGATAGATATATATATATATCAATCGAACAAATTACATGCTTGCATGAATGCATATATTACCTGTCTACCCATGACTCACAATCTCAGTGTCATCTGCCATTTCTCTTTTATTTTCCCTTATTCTTTCTCATTTTGTATGTTCAAAAAAGAAACGAAGAAGAAGAAGAAGAAGAAGAAGAAGAAGAATACGAGTACTACTAAAAAGAGCAAGAGAATAAGAAATGCAAGCAATCATTCGAGCGTTTGATCAGCGCATCTGATATATAAGTAATATTTAAATATAAGAAAGAAAACCGTGCTCATTATTCAGTCTGTGTCCCTCAGCTTTTTTCCACAAGTTCAAACCAAAAAAAGAAAAGACACGCAATGCGAACAAAGCAAAATCGAGCTACGTAAGCAGATATATATATATATACATATTCTTACAACAAAAAAAAAGAAATAGAAAGAATAATAATTAAATTTTTAATTCTTATCTATTTAGTATGTACAATTCTGTTATAAAATCTTCATCAAGTCTTTCATTGACTTCAAACGAATCAACATCATCACCTAATACAATAAATTCAAATTTTTCACCTATTATGCGTAATGATTATAGTCTTGATAGTGTTTGTTGTACAAAACGAAGTTTACATACATTTTCACATATGTGGATTGTTGAAAATTTTTCATCTTATCTTGAAGATCCTGAACCAATTATTTGTTTATCATCAGCACCATTTAGTCCAATATCAGGTATTAGTATAACAACACAATGGCGTCTTGTTTGTTATCCAAAAGGAAATTATGGTGCATCATCAAATTATATGTCAATTTTTCTTGAATATATTAAAGGTGAACGTGATATAAAAGCTAAAGCTGAATATTCACTTGTTAATCGTAAATGTGAATTAACAGAAATACGTAAAGATATACAATTTTCTGTTTATAAATGTGGTAATTCACGTGGTTTTATTAATTATGTTAAATATGAAACATTAACATTACTCGAGAATGAAACACTCGATGATGATAAACTTAAAATCTATGTACGTATAACAATAATGGATGATGCTATAACAGAAGAAACAAAATATCAAGAATTTGATGATAGTGAAAGTATTAATTTTACAACACGTGGTCTTGAAGGTCTTGTAAGAGATTTTACACAATTATTACTTCAATCACCACCAAAAATGAGTGATATTAAAATACGAGTTACTATATTATATGCAACATTCGATGATGATTCAATTCAATCACCTGTTATTTTTTATGCTCATAAATTAATACTTGCTGCACGATCACCTGTATTTGCTGCTATGTTTTCAAATCGTACTTTAGAAAATACAACAAATACTATTGATATAAATGATTTACATCCAAATACAATTCAATCTATGTTAGAATATATATATACAGGCAAAGTAACTGATATAAAAAAATCTACAGTTGAATTATATCGTTGTGCTGATAAATATCAATTAGAAGATTTACGTTTACAAGCTGAAATGGCTTTAATGAATTCTATATCAATTGAAACAAGTGCTGAAATATTATTACTTGCTGATCAACATCATTCAAAAGATCTTAAATCTCGTGTTATTCAATTTATTGTTAATGGAAATCTCAAGGCTATAACACAAACAGATGGTTGGCATAGATATGTTGCATGTATTCCAGATTTAGTTACGGAAGTAATTCAAGCAACAACTATTGAATAATAATAAAAAAGAAAAAAAAAAAAAAACAACAACTACGACAAATCATTTTTTTCTTCTTTTATCAAGGCCTAGTCACCTTTTAACTTACACTTATCAAGGATAGACTATCGATGTACAGATTTTTTTTTTTTTTATATTGAAAATTCTGTTTTTTTATTTTGTTTTGCCTTGAGTTTTAATGATATGAACATATGTTGAGGGAAGAAGTGTAGCGATAAAGGACACGCGATTTTTTTCTTTTTTAGTGTTTGTCATTTATTATATTGAAATGTCCCTGTAAGAAGGTGACTAGTATATTAATCCAACTTCACACTATTATGGTTGAATAAACAAGAAAGAGAAAGAGAAAAAAAAAATGATAACGCCATTTTTATATTTAACATGAAAGATTGCTGGTTGTGGATTTTTTATCGGTTTGTAGAGTTGGATTTTTGTCTAAATTATTATTAAGAAGTTCAATATTTTCTTGAGTTGATGAGTGAAGATCATAATCTAAAATTTAAATTTTCAATATTTAAATATATATATTTAAACGATTGGTATACCTGGAGTTATAGGTGGAATAAGATCTCTTTCTTCTAAATAAGCTATTGATGATGTTAAAGATGTTAATTGTAATGGATCATCCATTTCTAAATCGATACTTTCAGATTTACTTCGAATTTTTGTTGATTGATGAAATTCAAGTGTATTTTTAATTGCTGTTGGAATATTTTTTATTATTTTTATTTTATTATTAATATCATCTTCAGATGTTCGATTTGATGATGATGACGTTGACCATGTTTGAGAAAAACTTAATATTTGTGTAGGTGATGGTAATTGTAATTCATCAATACTATTAACAAATTCAGATGTTGCACTATCAGATATAGTTGGAGTTGGTGTTCGATCAAGTAAATTAACAAGTGAACTTGTTTGATCTAAGAAAATTATAAATATATATATATATAGTATAGAATTTCTTTGATGAAAATAAAAGAGAATTATTCAATCTAACGAATTTTAAATGTCGAGTGACATTTTATAGAAAGAAAATTTCATTATGCTTTTTGATTCGAGAAAGATTTCTTCTATCTAATAGTGTATGTATAATTAAGTACTATTGTGCACCTTTGACACATCAACAGGTACATTAACATCGTGACGTTTGACCTTCATCATAGCGAATGTGGCGCCATCTTATTGACAGCTTCATAGCACATACACTTACATAGAATAAGTCTTCCACTGAAAAGTTACATATATTCCATTCGAGGACCAAAAATTTATAAAGTAGTGTTGAGAACATATGTTTAACCTTCGAAGACTAAGTAATTAGTTTAATCTCTTGCATCCGTCAATTAGAGAGCTGCGGGTTCAAGTCCGCAGCTCCCTACCGTTAATCTGATGTAAAAATGTATGCATAGACTAGTATGTGACTGTGTTGAATACATGTTTTGAAGTAATTGTATTCGTACTTGCCTAGTGTTCCTGCGTGCAACTTTAAGAGATTGTATCTGAGAGCAATGATCGGGTTTTTCTTTTATAGATCACAAAAAAGAAACAAAAGGTATGAAACACCAGATAAACGGCTTATTTATAATAAAAAGGTATTTTTTGAATGTGGTACAGTGACGCAGACAGAGGGGGGTACAGGCTAATTCGTTTTTGCCAGACAAAAAAATGCCTTTTTTCTATTACGGTCCCCCCCCCCCCCCCCCAAAAAATTTCTGGCTGCGTCACTGATGTGGTATAAAGCTTGTTTAAGTCGTATGAAACTTTTACGATGGAGAGGTTATGATAAAAATTTATCGACTTGTTTTAACTTCGAACTATCTTCTCACGCTTCATTGCGATTAACAAAAATGACTGTAAAATTTTGTAACACTACTTACCAGATTTGGAAGCAAGGTTACTTTCAGCAAGAAGTTCTTCTAATTCTGTTACACGATTAGCTAATATTCTATTCAATAATAAAAAAAAAATAACATATAATTTCTTCTTTTTTTTTTGTGTTATTTTATAAAACATACTTATTTGTTTTTCTTTGATGAATAATTGTTATATTTTTATCTTTTATATTTTCATATAAAGCTTCTGCAATTGATCGTAAATCTTGTTCAGTTTCAGGTGTATTTGGAACAAGATAACTTTGATTTATTAAACTTCGAACTAAATAACAAAAAACAAAAAAATAATCCGAAAAAGAAATCTTTTCTTTTCATATTCTACCTTGTTTATGAGTTAATATACTTCCTGATGATTGTACTTTTCCTAAACGATTATACGCTGAACGATGCGTTTGTAAAAGTTCCTAAAATATATTCGATTTTAAAGGCTACTATAAAATTTTGACTACAAAATGCACATAGACTTTCAGAGAAAGATTTCCTACATCAATAGATGGCGCCACTAGAGCCCATGGGATCCGAACCCAGTTTATTGAACCGCACTGGAATTTTCTAATCGGAATTGGATCGTCGCCTCGATGATACGAGATACGTTTTTCCGACTTTTGATATTCGGTGCCTATGACACCCTACAAATTTCTTAGACGATTAAGAACCAGTTAAGTCTAAAGTTTTTCGAATCTATCGGCATGTCAATAGTACGCAGTAGAAATTAATAGTGCATGTATACTATTAGATAAAGTTTTGTTTTTAGAAGCTTAAATATATGTTCCTTTCTTTTAGTACAAAAACTATTGAAAAACTTATGATTTCGTATACAATACAATTTTTAATTTACTTTATATTTTGAAGCATTAGTTGCAAGAAGATTTTTCTCTTGTATTAATTCATTTATTTTTTCTTTTAAAAATCTAAATAAAAATTAAAAAAAAATTAAAACAAAATAATTAATATTAATTTAGAAAATATACCGATTTTCCGATAGAACAAGTTCAATATCAACAATATGTTTTTCATTTCCATTTAAAATTTTATTTAATTCTTGATTTAATTTACTATATTTTGTTTTAAATGAATCACGTTCAATTTCAAGTTCTTCTTTTTGACAAACAATTAATTTTAAATCATTATCAAGTTGATTTATCTATATAGAAGAAAAAAAAAACAGAATTAAATAAATTCAAATATTTAAACAAACTCGTTCATTTGATTGTTCTAAACGTTCTAATAAAATTGTCTGTTCTTCATTATGATTATTAATTTCTTTATTATCATAATCTTTTTGATTACTATTAACACGAGTTCGATGTCGTTTTTGACGAAAAATCTAAATCAAAGAATAAAGTTTTTTTTTTTTAAAGAATTCAACAAAAAAAAAGAAAAACTAAATCATTTACCGATAAATCGCCTTTAACATCATTGAGTTCACGTGTAAGTTCATCTATTTTTGTTTGTAATGTTTCTTTTTCATCTTGAATATTTTTAAGTGCTGTTTTTAATATATGAATTGTTGACTAGATCATTAGAAAAACAAAAGAAAAAAAAATCTATTAATTAAGACAAAAAAAATTCAAAATAAGAAAATTTATTTAGTAGATGTTAACATGCAGTGTATTTTTGTCGTGCTTTAAAAAACCCTCACAAACCTCTTTTTCTTTTAATGATTCACATTTTATCTGAATAGGTTTGATAAATATTTATCATTTCATTATTCTTATATAGATATAAGCTTACATCATTTGAATGTTCATAGACTACTTGAGAATGATGAATTGTGCTGAGAGGATCTATCTAAATAAAAAAACAAGAAAGTAAATTTACTTCGATAAACTATACATGTTAAAATAAAACTTCTTCTTTTTTTTTGTTCTCCCAGCAGAACCGAAAAAAAAACCGCGATAGCCCAGGATGAAATCTTTTAGTCCTTGTAGAAACCTACGATTTTCATTATTCAAGAGAGAACATTCGGAGTCATGAAGCTATGTCGAAATATAATTGACTAGCTATTGACCATATTCCGAAGTCATTTCTCTTTCGAATTATGCAAATTTGAACTTCCGAGAGTTACAAAAGTTTTTCTCGAACCCCTGGTTTCTGCAAAGAGACCTTGTAAGACGCCAAAGAGCTCACAACAAGGGTAATTCATTGTTCTGAGCTTAATGATAATATTTATTCTTTGTTTCAAAGCGAACTAACATTACTTTTTCAAGATTTTTTTGCAAAATTCTGATAACCTTCCGATATAGAGTAAAAATGGGAAATATTGAAAAAGTTCGGGCGAGTACCACTTTTCTTGATCATTTCTCCTTAGTTTTGTTTTTTTAACGGAGAAAAATAATGACAAGTTCAATATTTCCAAAAATAGTCATCTATTTATAGACTTACTTTTTTTAAATAGAATAATAACAATGCTTAATTCAAAAAACAGACTCTACCAGATATTGCAGCTTCAACTGCTCTTTCAAACAACATAAAAAGGGGTTTAGGACAGTTGCTTGCTAGAGCACCTGCTCGTAAAAATACTTTGAAGTAAATATATGTATGAGATATATGACAATATCCAAACAACAGAAAACAAACATGACACTCGACAAAGATAATAAACGTCCGATGTATTTTAACTGATTCTTGATGTCTGTATGTGAATCTTGAACTAAATTGTATAATCGTTGGTTTAAGGATTCGATTTTTCATTTTGATGATTGACTACCAGACATAGTATTAATGATATTCGAATATATATTATTTTCTTCTTTGATTAATTTATCCAGAAATGTCCATAATGTGGGATGTCTACATTGAAATGCACCCTTCAATTTTCGATGTCATGCTTCTACGTTGTTATTTGTTCGTTGCATATAATTTTTCACACGCCCTACCATATTCCATAGATTAATGGGAAATGTTCCTATTCGTCTTGAGAGTTCACGAAGACGATCGATACAGTCAATTTTATTCTGAATTCTTTCATTTACGATTAAGCGGTCATTTCATTCCAGAGCAACTATCCTAGCGAGCAACTGTTTGGATCCTCATAAGAAGCGATTGGCTACAATGGAACTCGCTCGAGCATTCTAGAATGCACGATCAAAATTTTTTCGATCTTTCATCGTTAATACAGCTTCGAAGTACCATCTGTCAAATGTTATATAAATGAAGATTCTTCCCCGTTAGTTAATACTTTTATTAAATCTAACTATCGAAATTCCTAGCCGAAAAACTCGCGCTGCAATTATTCGTTGTATGCAAAATTTTCATAATGACTTCTTCAAAATGTTGTTCCTACGAAATTCGGCAGCCTTTGAGAATCCGATATCTCTTTGGAGGAAGCATCTGGGAATTGCATCCCTCGCAAGAAGGAAACGACTGACTTAAGTGACTTTTAAATCATAACTAATCCTTTTAGACCGGATGTTTCCATTTTAAAACATTTTGTTCTATAGGGGTACGGCATTTTTGAAATAGCCGGCCGGAAGGGCTAAAGTAACATTAATAAAGAACAGAAAGTAACGAATTTTTGTCAAGGGAGAAACGACTGACTTAAGTCACTTTAAGTCAGTTAAGTCAAGAAAGTCACGAAAAACATCTGTAAGAAATCATTAATAAAGAATAAAAAGCTGTGATTTTTTTTCGATCTCGGTGACACATGCTCCAAATTTTTGTTTACTATTTTTTCAAAGACATACGCATATAAAACAGATGAAACGAACAGATACATATATATTGCAGGCAAAGTTGGCATATCATTTTGAGAACTTCAGAGCTAACAAAAAACACAATAACGCAAACACAAATGGAGTTGAGAATGAAAGAGAAGATCTGAGTGACAGAGTAGAAGTAATCATAGTGTGTGTAAAAGATTCTTAGCGAAGGTTAGTTTTTCAGTAAGATTATGATGTTATGCAATTATTCAGTCTGATTTTATACTCAACTTCACTCAGATTTCGGTCCACGGCATCACCATCATTCATGATGCCGAGAGATAGACAAGATCAAAAAATTAAAGAGTTGTCAAGACCAAAACATAAAAACTTACTGGGACCACGAACAGGAAAACAAAGTTTTTTGTTAAGTTTTCCTTATTTTTTAGCAAACTAAGTCGTAAATTACATCATTTTCTTAATAAAATTGATCACATGAATAGTTATTAGTTTATAAGTTCCAAGATCCTAATAGTAAAGTTTCAAAATTGTGATGTTTTCTGAGGCATGCTTTGAGTTATGAAAAACCTAATTATACGATTGGATAGAGATCATCGAATTGTACTTGAGATAAGAATAACAACATTGAAACAAGTTTCTGAATAAATCCTACCCGTAAATAGTCGAATTTGGATTCAACTTCGCCTACGTTTTCAACGGATTATGAGAGCAGAGATTGAAATTATGATTGTCTTCGCTGTTTACAAAGCTGAAGGGTGTCAATATTGAAAGTAACATTCGAATATAGCAAGATGTATTGGTTTTAAGATAAATGACTTTCATGACTTTTAAAGTCATCAAAGTCATTTTTAAGTCAAAAGTCAGTCGTTTCCTCCTTGGTTCCTCAGAATCTTAAGCCAGATAGCAATTTGAAAAGACTTGCATCGAAATAAGACTCGAAAAATTTATACAAATTTTGAAATATGAAGTCAGTATTTATAGATCTCAGGAAGTTTTTTATCCAAAAATTTCTCTTAAATATTATTCTACCTTATTTGTTAATTGTTTTTTAAGTTGTACACATTTTTCTTGTAAACTATCGACAAGTGATTTAAATTGATCACGTTCATGTTTTAATGTTTCAAGTTCATTTATTAATATTGCAAATGCTTTTGATTTACTGTCTAATTTTTTTTGTAAAATTTGTATCTATTATAAAAATATACACACATATAAAAGAAATTCATTATCGTTTTATATATTCAATTAAAACTTACTTCACTGTTCAATGATTCAATCTGTTGTTGCTTATTACTCATATCATTCATACTGAAAAATAGACAAAAAGAAATCTTCAACAATTAAGAAAGTTGCGCAATGATACGATTGTTTAAAATGAAAAAGAACAAGAGAAATACACAAAAAAAAAAATAACATGCAATCACAGGCAAATAATGACTTATAATCATTCATTTGTTCAAAATTCTTCTATTGGTTTTTTTGTTGGTATCACACGGTTACTTTCTAATATAAAATCAAGTTTTTGTTGAACTTTTTTACATCCAGATACAGAATAAAGTAAAGAATTTGGTGGTGAAAATTCAATTAAATCAAGAACACGATCAGTTATATCATTATCGGACAATATATATTGATATTTATCTTTTTTATGAATTAATTCAAGTTGTCGTTGAATACAAGTACGAATATGTGAACGTTCAAGTGGAAGAAATGGTACAAAAAAAGTCACCAAATGTCGATTAATTAATGATGCATGCCATAATCCACCTTAAATATAAAAATGAAAAACAAAAAAAAAAGTTGTTCAAAAACCTGGTTCACTAAATGCAGCATTTGCAAGAGCTCGTTGAAATTCAGTTATATTATAATTATTACGTTCTATAGAAGCAAAATGATTATTGTGAGCTATTGTATTAATCTCTTTGCCACCGGTATTACTAAAAAATAAATTAAAAATTCATAAAAATGAAGATCAATTATTCAAAAATAAATCAATAGCAACATTGTTACATACTTCAATAAGATCTATAACAATGTGTCTAACAAAAAAATTTTTTAAAAGAATAAATGAGCAAAATTGGGCTGAAAAACTCTTTAAAAAAACACATTAGCGCAAAAACCATCAAATCTTGCTAGCTTGTAGATTTATGAGATATGTTTTTCTTTTTTTTTACCAGTTTGAGTGTTATTGAAAAAACCTATTTCATTCATACCACTGTCAAAATAGTCAAGGACAAAAGTTTAAATCCAAAGGTATTTTTGTTTTGCAATAGCGCCAAGCACCTAGCTTTAGTGCAAATAGTACTTTTTGAATAGCCAATGAAGTAGTTTTCAAGTTCTAAAAGATTGCCGGAGCTATTTTTTAACAGTGCTATGTTAAAGAGCACAAAATTCTGAACAAGAGGAGGGGTTGCCGCATTTTCTACGAATTTTTCTTAAAAAGTTATAAGCAGCACAAAAACCGGAGCAAAAGCGAAATTTTTCAAAAAAAATGCTAAAACTCGAATTTGTCCGGTTTTTGTGCTGCTTATAACTGCTTAAGGAAAAATCGTAGAGAATGCGGCGATCCTTCATCTTGTTCAGAATTTGCTGCTCTTTAAGATAGCACTGTTAACAACTAGCTTCGACAAAGTCTTTTAAGACTTGAAAACCACCGTGATCGATTTTTTAGAAACTTTCTCATCATAGTACATCTATGAAATATTGATATATAATGCATTTTATAGAAAACTCCATTGACTACTAAAACTACTATTTGCATTAAACCTAAGTACCTAGCATTATTGCAAAAAAAAATATCAAAAATACCTTTGGATTTTGAAAATGAAAAGTCGTTTTTCAGGATGAGAACAAAATTTTCCGTCAAAATTCGACCCAGAGAAGACTATAGGATCAAACGGATTGAACAAAAAATGCTGTTAGCACAATCGCTACGGGATTAATATGTGAAACAAAATATAGCTGCTGTTGCTAATCAGAAAAAGATTGTTGTATTCTACTTTCTTCCACTTCAAAAATCGATCTTGACCTAGGAATATTCAAACCGCATGAAATATTCAGCTCTATATCATGATGTTTTCAAGAGATATTCAACTAACAAGTGTCAAAAATAGCTCATTTAGCAACCCGAAATTCACTATAGGCCTTCATTCTATACACATATTTTTTTTTTGAAATGTCTCAAAAAATAGTAACAAAGTTTTATTCAAAAAATGGACTCTATTATGCTATGGATCTGGATATGGTCTTTCAAACGAGCAAAAAAAAGTAATTGTATGCAATGAAGGAGATTTGATACATTTTTAAAGTTTTTCAGCCTAATTTACTCACTTATTATTGCACTACTATTCAGGAATGTTCCAAACGGACTGAAAGTTCATCCTCCAGTCTTCAGTGAAATTCTAGCGTTTTATTGCTCACCAGTTCTCAAAAAAACAAAAACACTTAATCTCCCTCCTCGCTAAAATTCGATCAATTTAAGCAACACTTAGGACATCCCTGATATTATTCCTTAAAAAAAAAAGAAGTTTTTGATAGACATGTAAAAAATATATCCTAATTGATTTTTGTTTTCTTTAGTTAATCGATTTTTGAATAACTATGATCTTACCTTAAAAATATAAATATTGTTTTACGAAAATCAATTGGTTGTGCATAAGTAGGAGTATGAAAATCAATATAAAATAAAATAGTTTCAAGTAATTTCATAGGCATTTTATCAACTTCATCAAAAATAAATGTTGCATATTGACAACCACTTGTTGCTCTTTCAATATCATGTTTTATACGATCCTATATACAAGAAAATGTGTGTGTGTGTATATAAAAAATAAATATACTATAATAAATAAAAGATTTTTTTTTTATCTATATATATATATATTATTAACATACCTTATACTGTTTAAGATGTTCTTCATCCTGATGCATAAAATCACGTGAAGCGACATAGAGTCGAGCGTATTTACTCTTATAACCCTTTCGATAAAGACTTTCAACAATATGTTTAGCAACAAAATTTTTTCCTAAGTGAAAAACAATTCAAAATTAAGAATTCTTAAACTTTTAATAAATTTAATGTTAGTATCTTTCAATTAAAATGTATAATGAATTTATTCTATTCTCAATTTTAACAAACTCATATGAA